TTTTTAAAGAAATTTGCCAGCCTTAATGAGATTTAATAGAATTGCGGACTTTAACCAAAAATTAACATAAGTTTGGGCTCGGATGACAACTGGTGTCAAGGATTCAAGGATTGACACTAGGGATGTCAATAGTGGATCGGCCTAGAAAAATCTCGAGCCGGACTGGCTCGTGGCTCGGTGAGACCGAGCTGAGGCTTGGGCCGAGCCCCCATTTTGGGGCGTTGGCTCGAACCCAAGCTTGCCGGAGCTCGTCACCGGCCCGTTAAAATTAAAGCAACAACGCAGACAGCTAAAATTATTTTTTTAATTTTAACTGTATTTTTTTATATGTTAATATTTAGCCCCCTATTTGAGCCACATTCTTATTTTCATTCACATTCTTCTACTTAGTTTCAATCACACATTCTTTAATAAAATAATATTTTTTATTACATCAATAACTTTTCCTTCTTTTTCAACCACATATTCACCATCACATTAAAAAAAAAAATGCATTTTTTCATTTTAATGTGCATCAACCACACTCTTAGTTATTATTTATAATATGTATTCATTAATAGAAAAAATTTAAATTTAAAACGAATTAAAAAAAAATCGAGTAGAAAGCTCGGGTCCAACCTAAATTTCTTGGCTCGTTGACCCCCATAATTGACGCATTTCCATAAATGTGACTGCATTAAAATGATTAAATTTTTATTTAGATTAAATAATACAAAATGGTATAATAAAGACAAAAATCGTGAGTTAAATCCCGTCGCCATCTATTTAAATGAATTGTTCACGCGATAGATTTTGATGAGAAAAATATAAATCTAGTATATGTAAGGAAAAAGGTGTTATATATACATATGAATCTGCCTAAAAGCTTAAGCTCTTGTTACAAACACATTTTTAGCTAAAACGATTAAACAAATTTTAAGTTCAAATTAATTGCTAAGTTAAAGCATTAAGTTTAGCTTTAAACTTAACAATCAATTTTAACAAAATATTTTATAAGATTCATAACTTTTCAATTACTTATTTTACCAAAATTTTCTAAATAATTAATTTTTATTTAAATCAAATGGGGCCTAGCTATAGTTAATTTGTTGTGCAATGAATGTGGAGATTTGTGGCTGTAATCCATGAATTAACCATGATATCACACAACTACCACCAATGTTCAAAATCAAGCACCACTATTAACTCTTTCTCTCTCCTGCGGCAGCTTGTAGTCCTTTTTTGTCTCTCCATGGGTTTGTTTGGGCCCATTATTTTTTTGGAAAAATAAATTTTGTAATAGTGATTATTCGAAGAATACGTGATTAAAAATAAAGAAAAAATCTAAGTTTACGCGAAAAATTATTTTATCGGAAGAATGTGGTGTTAAAAATACACTGGAGAAAAAAAAAAGAGTTTTTAAAAAAATATAGAGCTCACTAGAGGCTATATCTACACCTAGGAGATTGAGCCTCTAAAGCGAGGGAAGATGTTAAAAAGAAAAAGAAAAAGAAAGAAAGCAACATATCATAGCAAAAACCCTAAGCAGATACAACTTGTTCACCTACTACATGCATGTTTTTGGTCAAAATAGTTACATTATCTTTTTCCTTTTACCTTCACATTCAGCTGTAACTTTGTGCATACAAAGACTTGTTAAACAGTAAGGGCCTCTTTGATAGCCCTTTATTTTCCATGGAAGTTGGAATTGAAATTCCGTTTCCTACTTTTGTCGTGTTTGATTGCACTTTTTTTCCCTGGAATTAGTTTTCCACCTTTTTCTAGGTACAATCCTTTGATGCACAAAAACTTGATTTTGTTTTCTCACCTATTTGGTGGGAAAACATTTTCCACCATTTTTTTTTTGCTTTTTTTTTTGTTGCAATGTGAACAAATTCTAAATATAATGGTAAAAAAATTTTTCACTTTTATTGACAACTTTCATGCAAAACAAAGTCAAACGAATGATATTCGGTATGGTAAATTTTTTTTTTTTCAATTTTTTTTTTCAAATTTTTTTTTACAATTGGAACAAATTTTAGACCCAATGGTAGAAAAAATTATCACTTTAATGGACAAATTCCATAAAAAATGAAGTCAAATGGACACAAAACTTTCTACATTTTCCATAGAAAATTTTACCAATCAAACACAATTAATTACAATTCTCAGTAAAACATTTTCTAGGAAAATCAATTCCCTGTAAAACATTTTCTTTCCACCCATTTTCCAACTTTGCAATCAAACGGACCCTAACAGTTCTTGAAGGAAGGTCTTCGTTTCTCTAATATTTGATGTCATCTTTCTTAACTAGTTAAGGGGAGTGATGATGATGTAGAAAAACTTGTTTAAGGGTCCGTTTGATTGCAAATGTGGAAAATAGGTGGAAAGAAAATGTTTTACAGAGAATTTATTTGTCTAAAAATTGTTTTACTGGGAATTGTAATTAATTGTGTTTGATTGGTATAATTTTCCACCTGAAAAATGTTGAAAGTTTGGTGTCCGTTTGACTTCATTTTTTATGAAAATTGTCCATTAAAGTGATAATTTTTTCTACCATT